GACTCACACAGCTACAAAGGTTCACAAACCCCAGATTGGCAGGCAGTACTGCAGGCTGTTAACTTTGGAGGCTGATGAACCCAAGAACAGCAGGTAAAACAGCAGACTGTTGGCTCACTGGCTATAGAGGCAACACTCCCAAGATTAGCAGGCAATCTGGCAGGCCACTGGTTCAAGTCCAGGAACTGGAGATGATGATAAGCCAGATGCAGAATCCAGATCCAGCAGAAAGTCACAGATCTTTGCCAGGACATCTATAATATATATTGGAAACAGGCTGACCCCTGAGGAAACTCCCTTTCAATTGACTGGTTGCTCATAGCAGATCTCATCATGGAAGTGATTACATTATATCAGATCTCATTATGGGGGGGGTGACTATATTGTAACTTCTAAACTACTGAAAATCATGGATGAGCCAAGATGACATACATTTATTATCACAGTATGTGAATTTTATCTCAGTAAAGCTGTTACCAATAAAAGCCACTTAGAGTGATGTATGATTATACTGAACTCTCAGTAAATATTAGCTTTTACTGATTCCAATATTATTATTAGTGCCCATTCCAGTGAATCCTGAAGGAAAGGAAGAAAGGTTTCAGCATTTTGTGAAGGTTTTCCTGATAAAATCAGAATGATGGAAGATATTCGAAAGAAGACAATGCAAGGAATTAAGGTCACAATGTATGTGCAAATCCCATGAATTCCATTTCAAAAGAAAAATAAGTAGGGCTAGATGCTATCTGGTTTGACTTCTTTCTGTTGGATATTTAGCAAAGTGCCCTATGGACCTGACATGTTAATTTTCTGGAGCTTCCCAACTTCTTTACATTACCCTTTGGAACTCATGCTTAGCTGGCTATGGCTATCTAATCTACTCAAATGCAGAATGGTCAGTCCCTGAAGAAAAAATTATTCCTGAAATAAGGAGAAGACATAGAAAAGTCTCATTCTATTTTCCAACTCTTGTTCCAATAAAAATTTTTCTATGGTTAAATTATTTTTCCTTTCCCAGATGGGAATGCTTGTATCTACTTGCAAAATACGTGAACAGCTCTCTGTAAAAGCCTAAAGAAACATGATTTTGGCCTAAGGAAAAAGTAGTTGCTTTCTAGTACAAAGGAAAACCTTCCCTTCTAAACTTGTTAGAGGATAAGCAGATGGGCAAGCTATTATCCAGCTACTCAAGAGTCCTCTGAAAAGTTAAGTGGCCCCAACTCCCCCAAGCACAGACTAGCTCAGACAGGGAATGAAATCCTAAAAGAGAGAGAGATGAGCACAAGGTCTTTTGCCAAATTCCCTAATGACAACAGGTATTTCAATATGTACACACATTATGGAAGAAAAGAGAGAAGAGGCCTGTAACTCTTCAGCAACCACAAGTGGGCACCCCACAGCCCCCAGGGTTAATGTGGTAGTCTGTGACTCACTACACATGCTCTCAAAGGGGACAAAAGGAAGTCAGTAAGATACACATTCTCTCCTTTACCATCTAAAACAATGCGATCTTAGACTGTTCTTACTCACCTTTTTATATTCAACTCATTGTTTTGGGACAACCCAAGAGCAAGTGTGCTCCTGTTTATTTTCTTGGAAGCAGAGTCAACAAATTCCTTACTCGCCTCCTTCTTGGGCTGGGCCAGTTGACTTTGAGAAGCCTGCAGAAAAGGGAGGAATGAGGCAGAGAAATAAAGAGAACCACAAATTACCCACTGGATAGTTCATATAAGAAAATCCTATCCAAAAATACCACTCTGGACAACCTGTTTGAGTGTTCCCAGGAAGGACAATCAAAACACTTTACAGACAGGATGACCCTGACACCAGTGTCACAACGAAAGTTAGCTGCAAGAAACCAAAACAGTAGAACCATTACATATTGGCTAAAAGCAACTCCAACTGCTCCCAAGGGGTATACTATGTAGTTCTGACTTCCATGCTAAATATACAGGCTTGCAAATAATTGAAAAAAAATGTTTTGTAAACATCACATTATGTTTTGACCCCCAATAAGATGTTTGAGTGGAGGGTATGAGGCAATATAACTGGGCTTGTTGTCTGGATAAGATCAACTACCTTTTCAAGGTAGACATCTAACAAAACAATGCTATTTGTGATACATCTATCTCATCTCATTGAGGACCAGTTACACTGCAGTATTTATTTAACATGGTCCTCTGTGGAGCTCTACCATATACTCTAGTCATGACTAATTCTGTTGAACAGTAGGAGAGATCATGGAACTGTGAATAATATCAGTAAAAAATAAATGTAAACTGTGTCTTAAAAATGAAACCAAAGAACCTGATTATATTTCAAACAAATACTATAACCATACTAAAGAAAAGGAAAGAAAGGCGGCAGGCAGGAAGGCAGATGGGATGGATGGATAGAATTACTGAGTAATTCAAGTAACTTATACACACAGCATTTGACTATATACCCTCAAACTATACATCCTCAATCATGATGTGTGTGTGGTGGTGAGGGTAAGGGAGATACTGCAAATAAACCTTGAACTCTTTTCAGTAGGTTTGTTTATCATATGGCATTGAAAAGTAATTTTGAAACCTACTCCTGACTTACTGACTATCTCATTATCTGACACTTTGCATTTACGTCAATCATAAAAAAATCTATTTATTTTGCACATTAATGATGTATGTTTGGCAGTAACAAATGAGAAGGTACAAGTTAAGAGTAACACTGGCTGTTATGGTTAAGGTTATATGTCAACTTGGCTGGGCCATGATTCTTAGTAGTTTGGCAGTTACATAATAATGTAATTTGGTAGTTATGTAATGATGTAATCATTCTCCATTTTTATATAATGCAAATACTCCAATAACGCCCTGATCTTTGAAACCTAACCATGCCAGTAAGTGAGGAGTGGGTGTATAGAATTGAGTAAATGTGTTGATGTTCTTGGGAATCAGGGTTCTCACTACAGAAAAAGCAGCTTACAAATATAGTTTAGGGGATGCAAGAAAGAACCCAGTGTATTAGAATACACTGAGTTGTATGAACTTGTAATTTCTTAAATAGGCATATGTATACACATGGTAGCTCTGGTGGCACAGTCCCTAAGGCACCTGATTCCTAACCCAAAGGCTGGAAGTTCAAACCCACCAGCCACTCCTCGGAAGGAAGATTGGGCAACCTACTTCTGTAATGATACCCCCTCAGAAACCCAAGGAGGGGTCACTATGAGTTGAATCGACTTGATGGCAGTGAGTTTGGTTTGGCTTGGTATATGTATTTAAGTACACACATGTGTATGTATATGCTGTTCCTTTTAGCTGCCAAGTCGGCCCCTGACTCATAACAACCTCACACACAATTAAATGAAATACTGCCCAGTCCTGCACCAACCCCATGATCAGTTGGGGATCAGTAGGAAATAGATTATCAGGTCTTTCACCCTAGTCTGTTATAGTCTGAAAGCTCTAATAAAACCTGTTCAGCATCATAGCAACATGCAAACCTCCACTGACAGATGGGTAGTGGCTGTGGATGGAGGTACACTGGCTGAGAATCAAACCCATATCTCCCTCATGGAAAGTGAGAAATGTACCAATGAAACACCAATGCCTCATTGTGTATGTATATATACATAGAGATATTTCCTAGCCTTGCCTGCTGAAACTGTAAAAAAGCAAAGTCACCCTAGTAGCAATGAGCACAACTAGTACCCGTATCTTGGTCTCTAATACAATTCCCCACTAAAAGGAATCAGAACTCCTTGGAGAAGTGGTTGACTAGATGATCCTGGAATATCTTGGTATGCTGAAAAGGAAATGCTTAAAAATTATGAAAGCAGGTCTCAAGGACACAATAGTCCAATCAGAAGAGCTCCTACTGACCAAATTTGGAACAATTTGAGCAACAAAATAATTAAGTACAATAATAAATAATAAAACACTGAAAACAGGATTTTATGAGTTCATACCAACAAAAAATAAATAGAGGAAAATGAGTATCAAGGACAAACTGGTAAATGTGGAATGGGTAGTGAGTCAGAAAAATCATCAGAAAGACTGGTTCAGACAAAAATCATCGATGGATACTAAATCTGAGGATATTTTTATCATCAGCAGCCCTTAGAACATGTCCCAAAGACTGCTTATTAGCCACAAGATAAAATTGGAGGAAAAAAAATGGACATAACAAGCAATATCTTTACTAGGTGATCAAAATTAACATCACCAATGAGAGACAGATGGACACTGTGTGCCTCCAAATGTGATACCTTGAAAATGGCAACCTTCAGTCTGCCCTCAGCCAGGAACATCAGTGAGGGGAAATTATATTGGCCATTGGCTCTAACCTGTGGGTCAGTATTGGAGCTTTCCCTGAAAATCAGGCAGAGTACCAATGCCTTTCTCCTAATCCTCTCAGGAAAGAGGGACTATATACTGTACCCTAAGGGTTCTGGAAGGGAAAACATGGGGTCGGGACTAGATGGACTGATTAGTCCTTTCTACAAGGGCCATATCTAGGGAAAGAGATGGGAGCAGAAGGAGGATTGGAATTTTAGGGTGTAGCTACACTTACCAGGTGCCAGAATCAGCCTCTTACCCCTAAACTTCTTCAGTCTGAGAGGCGATCTAGGAGCTAGCATTAGGCCCAGATTGTTGAGCAGGCCCTCCTGGCCTGTTAGTTCATCACTACCTCTGCACTCGCTATCTGTGTGTGTGTGTGTGTGTGTG